CACAAATATACAAATACTTCAAATACACACACACACACACACACACACGAACTTCCCCGCGAAGGGCGCCCCGCCCCCCCTCCCCCCCTCGGCGCCTGCGGCCAAAGCACCAGTGCATCTGGCGCGACGAGCTGGACGTGCGGGAGAGGCAGCTGAAGAAGATCACCGCCCAGCTGGACCCTGTCGTTGCCGGAAAGGAGAAAAGAGGAGGAGGGAGAGGAGAAGGAGGAAGAGGAGGTGGAGGAGCAGGAGGTGGAGGAGGATGAGGAGGAGGAGGAAAGGGAGGAGGAGGAGGAGGTGGAGGAGGGGGGGAGGAGGAGGAGGAGGAGGAGGAGGCGGAGGAGGAGGAGGAGGAGGAGGAGGAGGAGGAGGAGACGGGGAGCAAGAGGGAGAAGGAAGAAGGCCGAGGAGGAGTGGGGGGAACAAGAGGATGAGGTGGATGTAGAGGTAGAGGAGGAGAGGAGGAGGAGGAGGAGGAGGAGGAGGAGGAGGAGGAGGAGGAGGATAAGATGGAGGAGGAGGAGAAGGATGATGATATGAGATGAGATGAGATGAGATGAGACGGCTCCCAGGGACGTCCAGCGAGGAAGGGGCCAGCCCGATACAAAGTTGGTGGGCGCACCATCGAAAAAGGATTTTGCGACAGATGCACGCCGCCCCACTAGAGCCTCCGACGGGCCTCTTCACGAGCTCGGACTCGCTCGTGGAGGCGGGCCTATCGAGCTTCATACTGGACAACGCTGTCCACCACGAGACTGGCGCTGCTGGCGACGGTGGTCCTGGACACAACTTCCCGAGCGGACGTGACCGACACACCGACGCGAGGGGCGGAGATGGCCCGCTCGATCAACGCACGCATCCGCGGGTTGGGGGCCAACCCCCGCCGAAAACGGGACGGAATCATTTTTCCTGTACGTGCCGGGGGGGCACAGGCTCTTGCCAGCTTGATGGCTTTCTCCTGGCTCCACCACCCGCACTTCACGCACAGCAGGGACCCACGCCTAGCCTCCTCACTCTCGGCACTGCGTTGCACGGCACGCAGGGGAGCGAGGCGCGAGCCCGACACGGCAACCAGCTGGTTTGCGTGAGCTCGTGACTGGAACGTCCGACAAGCGGGTGCCGCATGCACCCTTTCCCCAGGATCAGAAGCAGCGGCAGCAGGCGGGCATTTTGGCGTCCGCAGGCGCATCACGCGCCAGCCGTCCTCACTGTGCCGCCGACGGCGGCTCCTCGGCAGGCTCCAACCGCTATGCGGCGAGAGCCGAACGGGCCTAGGGAGGGTACCTGGGAGGGAAGGGTCCGAGGGGAAACTTGAGCCCAAGTGGGCCGCGGAGGGGGAGGAGGATGGCCCTCCCCTCCCCTCCCCAGGCACCTCACACTAAAGCCTTACGTTCTAGGCTGGCGCGCGAACTCTCACTATTGAGTGAGCTCGTGACTGGGAAATCCGACAAGCGGGTGCCGCATGCACCCGCTCCCCAGGATCAGAAGCAGCGGCAGCAGACGGGCATTTTGGCGTCCGCAGGCGCATCACGCGCCAGCCGTCCTCACTGTGCCGCCGACGGCGGCTCCTCGGCCACCCAGTACTCCGCGGAACCTCGGCGCCGGTCGCTGCAGAAGGGTCCTCGCCGCTGGGCTGCGGCCTCACTCCCACCGCTGCCGCCACCACGCGAGCCGCGGGACCACCTCGAGGCCCCCGCCTGGACTGGGAGGGACCTGGCCCGACGCCCAGCACTCATAATTACCACCTCCGTCTGCATCATGCTTGCCCGCTCCACTTCAAACGACCTCAGGCTGTGACCCAGCCGCTGCCCCAAGGCCACCGCCCCACGGACTGCTGGCAATCCTGCACTGGCCTCCTCAGCGGCTCCCGCATCGCAGCCGTCAGAACTCACCGGGCCGCAGCCCGACCTGGCAGCCACACTGCCCGCAACAACTCCACCTCGCCGCAGCCAAAATGGCCACCCTCGACGCCAAGCCCGAGATCAGGCTGGCGTCCTGCCTGTAGCCCACGTGCAGGGTCGCGACCGACTTCGCCATCGCCTCGGAGACCCCTGCCGCGTCCTCGTTGGCTTCCCACAGGTACTCGTGGAAGGCCCCACTGTTCCACCGCCCCCACCGCTTGACCAACTCGGTGTCCTGGAAGCAGTGGTACAGGGCGGGTTCTTGAACCTGTCCTGCGGGAAGCCCTCCAGCGCCGCCGCCTTCTGGATCAGGTCCTGGATGCGCTCCCGCGTGATCGGGCTACCGTCCGCCAACCTCGCGAGCGGCAGGTGCGCCTCCTTGGCCGAGATGCGGCTCGGGAACCAACGGTTGTAGCACTCCGCCGCCCACAATGGGCAGATGACGTCCGGGTCCTTCGAGCGGCCCTTCGGGTCTGCCTTGGACGAATTGAACCAGAGCGCCCACCACCTCGACCGCCGCGGCGAAGTGGCTCACCTGCTCACCCTTGCACTTCGGGGCAATGCCCAGATCCGTCAGGACCTTCTTCAAATCCCAGTCGCCCGAGTGCGCGTACTCCCCGATCCGCATCATGAAGAAGAACGCGAAGATCACGCACAGGCACAGCGACGCGTCGTCCGCGCAGTCGCCTGGATGCAGCATCCCTCTGATCCGCCTGAGCATCTTGATGGTCACCAGGAGCTCCCTCTGACCTGGGCCCTGCCAGTTCTCTCGATGCCGTTGAGCGCCATCCACAAGCGGGGCTTCGGGTCGGGCTCCCCGAGCACCACGTGCTGCGAGCGTATGCCGGGGAGCTTCGAGCGGATGGTGCCGTGCGACCTGCGGAGACTGTTGTACAAGTGCACCATGAGTAGCAGCAGCTCCTCCTCATCCTGATGCCTCTCCTCGCGCGTCTCGCCGTGCAGGATAGGGGACGCCTGCGTGAGTGCCGCGGTCAGCGCCGCGGCCGCGGCCCTCGGCGGACAAGCGCGGAGCACGCCACGCAGCACCTCCTCCAGGTTCACCCGCGCGCGCAGGTGACCCCAGTCCTCGCTGGTACCTCCTCGCAGCTGCCACACCTCCTGGCCCTGCAACGCCCGGACCCCCGGGGGCGGCCCCTTCGCATCGTAAATCAGGTGGGTGTCCAGCGCTCCACTCTCCTGCACTCTCGGGGTCGGCGATGGGCCTGAGCTGCCATTGACCGGGAGCCTGCCCGTCCGCCCGCTCGGATGCCAGTGGCCGACGACCCGCGGTAGGTGGTGCGGTGACCTTGCGGCGCGCGGATCTACCACCAAGCGCCCCTCCTCCGGCTTCAACCACCCCCTCCTCGATGCGGCGCGCGTTGAGCAGTCCCCCGGCCATCGGCAACGGCGGCGGGCACTGCGACTCGTGGCCCCCCAGCCAGCCCGCGGGCGCTGGCGCTCCAGACTTGGTCGCCAGCACCCACGCTTTTCGCTGGGCCACTGGGTCCCCGAACTCGCTGCACACGCGCCCGTCTTCCACTGCGCTCCAGCCCTCCTCGGATCATCAAATCTTGGTTCTCTAGGTAGGCTGGCAACACAGCTCTTTTGCGAGGACCGAGGACCCCTGGGCCCCCTTTTAGAAGCCTTCGACGAATCGATCGACGAGCGCCAGTGGCGACAGGCCTCAGAACATCTCGACGGCAAGGGGATTGTTGGTCCTGCTTCGTTGTTCCACGTTTGGGAGCTGGTTGCGTCTCTTGAAAAGGAAGGCCGTCGAGATGTTGCTGCTATGGCCAGGCTCGTTGCTGCAAGTGGATACTGGACTGAGGAAAGACGGCACCTCGCCCAGCTTTCCCCTGACCCTATTTGTAGGCGTTGTAAGCGGGGCCCAGAGTCCACAGTGCATCGTGTCTGGCAGTGTATGTGCAATGACAGGTCGGTCTGCCCTGATGTCGTTCAGTCACAACATCTGAGGCATACGGCCATCCAGGAGGCGAATGTTCTCCCGTGTTTCTGGATGAGGGGACTGATCCCCAGAGCGTGGTTCCGTCTCCCACCCACTCCCGTTTCTCGGCTGTTCCGTGGCCGGCGGCTCTCGGGAGCCCTCGTTCTTGGTTCGTTGCCTGGGGGCCTGTACGGCACCGACGGCCCTGGGGGCCCTCTTGGGAGGAGTCCTGTTTGAAGAAGGGTTGCTTTCGCTTTCGTGCGCATGGTCCCTGGCGTTGAGTTTGAGTGGGATTGTGCAGTTACTGGCGTTGTCGACTCGGAGCGACAAACTGTGCCGCGTGCAGAGCTTGTGGCCATCGTGGAGTGCGTGCGCTACGTTGACAGTGCCCAAAATCTGCACGTGGTCTCCGACCATGCTAATATAGTCAAGGTCTTTGCAGGTGGAAGAGCGCGCGCCGCCAAGTTGCCCAACTCAGACTTGTGGTGGGAGCTTTGGGGGCTTCTCGAGTCTCGCCCTGCCTCTTTCCGCCTTTCTCACATCCCTTCTCACCTTCTGGAGGATGACAAGAAGCGCGAGCGTTTTCAGGATATTGTTGCCTGGGGCCACGTTGTTTTGAACTCTCTGGCTGACCGGTTGGCCGATGATCGTGCGTCGGAGGTTCAGGCCCCGCCAGATGTGGTCAGAGACCACAATGCCCTTGTGCTACAGGCTTGCCAAATTTTGGCCCGCCACGCTGCCAGCATTCTTGAGTGCACCACGCTTCGCGCTGAGCCCGACAGGCGCAGAGTCAAGGAACCCATCGACCTGGTGGTGCGTAGGCGGAGATGGCTCGCAGAGGCGCTAGTGTCTGCCTCCCACGGGTGGACGTTCGCCGATCATTTCTGGAGATGCAGCTCCTGCGGCGTGGAGGTGCGGGACGGGGCCCCAGCCATCCGCGCCAGGTTGCGCAGCCTGTGCCCTGCTTCTCTCGAGGAGGAAGGGCGGGGTGCGCCTGTGTGCGTGGTGCGTGGGCGGGGGGGGGAGGACCATCAAGTTGTGCATCGCCTTTGGGCGAGGCCTGCCAGACCCCTGCCCGAGCGGTGCGACGCCCTCTGGAGATCTCGGGGGCTCGACCCCACGCCGCCCAGGGCCGAGGCTTGGGTGGCAGGCAAGCCTGTTCATCCATCCCATGTGCTCTGGAGCAAGGCATCCATTCATTTTTGTGGGGCGTGCGGGGCCTGGGCCACATTGAGGCCCGTCTCTCTGCGGGAGCGTTGCCCAGTGGACGAGTTCGGTCCCCGCGCCTGCACTCAGGCTGGCCGCGTGGTCCTGCAGCGGCTGTGTAAAGGTTCGCCGCCGTCCAGGAAGCTCAGCGCGTGGCCTGACATGTTTTTTTTTTGCCGTGGCCTCCAGTCCCAGGCAACTTGTTGCCCTTGGAGCCTGTTCGTCAGCGGCGCACTGCAAAAATGCGCTCCAGCCCTCCTGGCTGCGGGGGGGGGCGTCGACGACGGCCCACTGCGCCGTCTTCCCCTTCAGCTCCTTGGCGAAGTCCTGCAAGTGGGCGCCAACCTTCGTCGGGCCGAGGGAGGTCGCGGCCAGCGCCGTGCCGTCGGCCTCCGCGGCGGTGCCGCCGCAGAGAGCCAGCCCGAGGGCGGCTTGGCCTCGCCGCGCGCTCCCGGCGCGCTCGCTGCCCTCGCACAGGGCGCCATCGTGCTCCTCACCTCCACCACGCGCCAGGCCGTCTGCAGCAGTGGCCGGGGGACCTCTCCGGGTGACCGGCGCGCCGTGAGCTGCGTCGCGACTTGCCAGTCGGCCGTGTCCACCAAAGGCGACCGCGCGGACGCGCCGCTCGTAGCTCTGCGAGAGCACCTCAGCCCAAGTCCCCGCCAAGTCGATGGGCCAGAAGCCTGCCTCCTCCATGCGCCTCTCGACCTCGGCCTCGTCCGCCCTGGTGATCATTTCCGCCATCTCGTTGCTGTACGTCCTGATGTGCGGCATTGCCAGGATGCGGCAGTGGCATTTGGCCTCCACGTAGTTTAGGAGCCTCACCAGGTGCCGGGCCATTCTGTTTTCCCGACGGCGGCTCTCGATCCACTTCTGGACCGTCTGGTTGTCGCCGACGTAGATGATCAGCCGCCCGAGCCACTTCTGGCCGCGGGACACGGCGAAGCCGACCGCGCAGAACAAGTCCCCGAGCGCGATGATCACCCACTCCTCGGGCAGCCCCGCGGCCTCCTTCAGCGCATCCATGCAACCACCGAGCTCCTGCCTCGCATAGAGCTTCGCCGCCCAGTCGATCTGGCCTGCCACCTCCAGCGTCGAGTCGCCGCCTACCCACACAACCTGTTCCATGGCGCCTGGTATGGACAGCCGCCCCCTCGGCTCCAGCATGCCCGCGCAGGAAGTGAGGAACGTGGTGGCCCAAGTCTCTGGCCTGGCCACCATGACGCGCAGCAGGTCGCAACAGTCCCAGAACTCCTGCCACGCTACCTCCTGCTCCTCTGCGTCGCCCCTTGGCGTCGCCCTCGCGGTCGGCCCGTCCGCCTGGCACATCAGCGCGTCCAAAGCCCTCAGCTCCGTGCCTAGCGCCTGGTTCGTGGCCGCGAAGTGAGTGCCCAAGCCCCTGAGCCGCTGCACCGTGTTCAGCCGAACCCCGCCTCGAGCTCCGCCTCCTGGAGCAGGTAGTTCATCTTCTGGATCTTGGGCTCCGGGAGCGCGGCGCGGTCGACTACCTGCCCTTCAGCGTCCTCCAGTTGGAAGCGCAGCCCCCAGATGAGCTTCTCCGTGCTGAACTCCCCCTCCTCGGCCAGTTGATCGAGCTGTCACCCAGCAGCAGCTTCGACATGGCGTCGAACGTCCAGGTCGACAGCCACGGCCGCGCGCCCAAGGCTGGCTCCACCAAGACGCCGTCGTCAACCAGCACCTCCGAAGAGTGATTCGGCGACCTCGTCGTGGAGTTCTGCCGCTGGTGGGCAATGGGCCTGGTGCGCATCCTGCACACCACGTCCCCGCACCGCCCACTCACCTGGCGCGCCCGTCCACCCGAACACCATCGTGAGGTAGAGGACCGTCGTCGGCTCCGCGCCGGCGAGGCCTTGGAGGCTCACCGCCATGATGCGGGGAGGAGGAGGAGGAGGAGGAGGAGGAGGAGGAGGTGGAGGAGGAGGAGGAGGGAGAGGAGGAGGAGGGAGAGGTCGAGGAGGAAGAGGGGGAGGTTTTGGCACGAGCGCGTCACGCTCGCTGCTCGTCTGGTGCCCAGGGAGGGTGATGGGGGAGGGAGATGCAGGAAGAAGAGAGGAGGAGGCGAAGGAGGCACAGGATCCAGACATCCGTCATGAACTTTTCACGACGTGGGCCCCCGAGGGTCTCCACCCGTTCCCCAGGACCCGATGTTCGTTCTGAGCCGTTGTTCACGGTCTCGGGGCCCGGCGAAGGCCGCCAGAGGTAGAAAGTAGCAAAGAACTTTCCGACGGGTTTTTGCTATCTCCTTTTTCTTTGTGGCTGCAATAACCAAACCATGAACAAGTCTTCCGCCGCATCGTCCCCTCTGCTTTCTTCCGCCTTCTCCCCAAACTGCGCGAACAAACATCCTCCCGCTGCTGCTTTTGCACGACGCCCTCCCGCTGCCGCGGGGAGGACCGCACCAGCAGCGCGCTGCACCTCGCGCAGTCGGCCCGTCCCCCGGCCAGTCTTCCTCGGCCAATCTTCCGCCGTCGGCTCCCGCCCCCTCCTTCGGACGGGATTTTCCAACGTTCTCTTGGCTTTTCCCTGGCTCTTTGATGTTCTCCGGCCTCGGGATGCTCTCAAGCAGCTGCGCCTCGTCGAGGGCGTTCCGGGGCTGCCGGAATCGTTCCAAACGGCCGCTGGAGAGCCGAGTTTTGGTTCGAACACCGCGAGGCAACGACAGGGCAGGGGGTATAGCCATGGGGGAGGGACGCATCGCCCCCAAGTGCCCATTCATCGCCGACAGCGGCCCGATAGCCCCAACCCGCCCAGGCAGGTGCGGTTTCGCTATCGGGGGCCAATCGCCGATCGATCGTCAGGCCGATGCACCCCCTCCTTATGCCAGTGCCCCCCTATCGTTGCCCCTCATCCCTGCCCCTCGTCGATCTTCGCGGCGTCGGGATTCCCTGGAAGAAATTCAGGCGTTGCATTTTGTTACACCAGGCGTTTTCGCACAGTTCTGGCCCCCTTGGGTCATCACAGATAGATCTGGCTCGGAAAATTGGCGCAGAAAGAATGGGTCTAGGTCTCTGGTCTGGATTTTTCACGACGGCGTAATTCTTCCCAACGTCGGATCTCAGTGTCATGCAGATCGAGGATCAGGATAGATCGCTCCAGGGTTGCGGAGCGCTCTCACAGTGTTCTGGAACGCTCTGAAACGGCTGCGGCGCCCCAAACATCCTTGAAAATTGGCGGATCTCGGGAGAAGCCCAGTCTGTCCCAATCAGTTTTTGTCCCGATTTTGGCTTTGTCTGAGGAGGGTCAGGGGGCAACCTCAAGAAGGCATTAAGAACCCCCCCCCCTTTCCGGTGGATTATAACGCCCCCACACCCTGGCGCGTTATGGCCGCACCGGAGGACCTGGCTGCGGGGACTCGGGGCCTAGCTAGGGCTTCGCAGGGCCTAGCAGTGCTCAGCAGAGATTAGCAGGGGTTAGCAGGGGTGCGTAGCAGGGCCCTTAGCAGGAGGGTTGGAGGACAACTTGTTCTTATTATTATTCGTATTGTTATTGCTACATATTCTTATTGTTATCCTCCCTGTTATTCCTACTACCCATTAATATTACACTACATTGTTATTCCAACTATTCGTATTATGTTATTTTCCTAGTTATGAATAATATTCTTATTACTACCTATTCGTATTCGGACCGCGCCCTGACCACGCCTAGCAGGGCTTAGCAGTGCTTAGCAAGGCTTAGCAGGCTCAGACTGCTCAGACTCACTCACACTCAGAATCCTTGCGGGCCCGCTCCTCGGGCTCTCTCGTATTTCTGGGTTCGCGGGTGCAAAGATAACGCGGGGGTGCGGGGCGGGGGGATACCCTGGGGTGGGCTCCCTCCTTGGAAGGCCGACGAAAGTCTATTTCTTTAAGGGGGATGAAAAAATAATCGCATACGAAGAGAAGGAGGAGGAGGAGGAGGAGGAGGAGGAGGAGGAGGAGGAGGAGAGGAGTTAGGAAACAATGCGAAAACACAGGAAAAGCACAGTTGTGCCTAAGTTGTGGGTCAGGGACATGAGAAGTGCCTGGGTAGTGTGTCAGACACTGGAGCAGTGCCTGGGTTGTGGGTCAGATACTGGAGCAGTGCCTGGGTTGTGACTGAATCCTTCTGATCAGACTCATTCACATTCAGATTCATTGTGCTCATACTCACTCACATTTTACATTTGTGATCCTTATTGGCATTGTGGTACTGTTCATTCGTATGAATATTATTATTGACGGTTGTGGTTAATGGTGGAATCAAAATTTTAATGGTGAAATAAAATTTTGAAGGTGAAATAAAAACACTACGTAAAAACACTACGCTGAAAAAAAAACACTACGTAAAAACACTACGCAACACACACACTACGGAGAAGCATTACGTACGTGAGTACGTCACATCCGCACAGTACGTGTGTGACCAGGGAGGTCTCGTGAGCGGGCGCTCCAGCGGCTGGCGCGGCCCTGCGAAGTCCGGACGACGAGGGCATTCTGAGAACGCGACGCGAATACACGACGCAAAAACACTACGCAAAAACACTACGCAGATGCGCTACGCAAATATACTACGCGAAAAGACTACGCATAAACACTACGCGAACACACTGCGCAAATACACTGCGCAAAAACGCTTCGCGAAAAGCACTACGCAAACACACTACGCAAAATCACTACGCGAAAACACTACGCAAAAATACTACGCAAAAACACGACGCCGACACACTACGCCAATACACTACGCAAACGCACTCAGCACATACACGACGCAAATACACGATGCAAATACACTACGCCAATACACTACGCCAATACACTACGCAGACGCACTCAGCACATACACGACGCAACTACACTACGCAAACACACTACGCAGATGCGCCACGCAAACACACCACGCGAAACACACTACGCAAAAACACTACGCAGAAACACAACGTAACAACACCACGCAAAACACTACGCAACACCACTACGCAGGGTTTTTTTTCCGCACCCTCGGGAGGAGGAGAAGAAGGAGGAGAACGAGGAGGAGGAGGAGGAGGAGGAGAAAGGGGAGGACAAGGAGGAGGTGGACGAGAGACTTTGTGCCGATATCTGGTAGCGTGCGTTCGAGGAGGAAGAGGAGGGGGGCCGAGGGAGGAGGAGGTATGAGAAAGAGGAGGAGGAGGAGAAGGAGGGGATGAAAGCCCCGTCTGGAGGCTTCGGCCGTTTCGGCGCAACGGCGGCGCGGGCGTGGGCGTTCAAGACTGAAGCCCCCGGCTGCGGGTGTCGTTCGACCTTCTCCGTCATCGCAAGGCCTCCTCCTCCTCTTCCTCCTCCCCCCTCCTCCTCCCCCTCCTCCTTCCCTTCTTCATCCTGCTCCTGCTCATGCTCCTTCTTTTCCTCTACCTCATTCTCCCCCTCTTCCTCCTCCTCCTCCTCCTCCTCCTCCTCCTTCTCCTCCTCCTGCACCTCCTCACATGGCCGCTCCTCGCTCTGTATCGATGACGGTTGCGGAGGTTTGTCAAATATTTCCGTCATCGCAGCGCATCCTTCTGTCAAAGCCCATCGCTAGGACACAGTACTTTTACAAGGTCACCCTTGCATCTTTAAATTTTCGGCCCACCCGTGCCCAATGTGACGTTCAACGACATCCGAATTGAGCGTTCAAGGACCTTTTCACCCTTATCCAGCTGCCTGCGGCAAGTCTCGTCACCACGCCCGCCCAGGTATCTCGGTGGTCAACGTACGAGGGAACACGGCGGTCTTAACATGTGACGTCTTGTCTTTCCTGTCTTTCGAAGAGTCGTGAAATGTTGCGCGCGTTCTGAGGGGTGTTCATGGGGATTCTGGGAGCAAGGTGTTTGGCGCAGCTCTGGGACGTTTCGAAAATCCCAGGAGGCTCATGAGGCTCAGGAGGTTCCAGGACGTTCCACGAAGCCCCAGGAGGCCCCACCCAGGAGGCACCAGGAGACCCCGGGAGGCCCCAGGAGCTCCCAGGACCCACCACCAGAAGGGGGGGGGGGGGGCAGGAGGCCCAGAGAGGCCCCAAGAGGCCCCTGGAGGCTCCAGGATGCCCCATGAGCCACCAGGAGGCCAGCCAGGGCGCCAGGGCTCACGCCGTCACGACAGGAGCCCGCCGCCGTTTTGGCGCAGTGCAGCCTTGGGGCGTCTTGGGGCGCTCTTGGGCGCTTTGGGAGCCCCCTGGGCCGGGCCCCTCTTGGGGCTCTCTTGGGCCATTTTGGGGCGATCTCGAAGCCTCCGAGGCCCATCGGCCAAAACATTGATTTTCCTATGGTTTGGGTGCCATTTTGGACGTAGGTGGTTTCAGGAACTTTGTCGCACCAGCCCACTGGGCGTAGGTGGTTTAACGAACCTTGTCTTCGCAAGCAACACTGCGCCAGAAAACATTAACGCGAAAACATTACGCAGATACACCGCGCAAACGCACTACGCAACTACAATACGCCTATACGCTACGCAAACGCACTACGCAAACACTCTACGCGAAAACGCTTCGCAGAAACGCTACGCCAAAAACATACGCAACAACACTACTCAAAAAAGCACTACGCAACAACACTACGAGAAAACACCACGCGATGAAAAATACGCAACGAACGCTACGCAAGAAACATTCACGCGAAAACGTTTCGCAAATACACTACGCAAACGCACTACGCAAATACGCTACGCAGATGCACCTTACGCAAATACACTACGCCAATACACTACGCAGGTACCCCACGCGAGTACACTACGCAAAACATTCCGCAAAAACTCTACGCGGAAACATCACTCGACAAACACTACGCGAGAAACATCCACGCGAAAACACTACGCAACAACACTACGCAAAATCACTACGCAAAAGCACTACGCAGATGCATTACGCAAATGCAATACGCAAATACACTACGCAAACGCACTCAGCACATACACGACGCAAATACACTACGCCGATACACTACACCAATACACTACGCAAGCGCACTCAGCACATACACGACGCGAGTACACGACGCAAAAACATTTACGCAAAACCACTACGCAGATGTGCTACGCGAATACACTGCGCAGAAAACACTACGCAAAAACACTACGCACATACGCTACGCAAGAGACACTACGCAAAACACTACGCAACATCACCACGCCAACGCACTACGCAAGATCACTACGCAAAATCACCACACAACACCAACGCAATACACTACGCCAATACACTACGCAAACGCACTCAGCACATACACGACGCAAATACGCTACGCCAACACATTACGCAACCGCACCCAGCACACACACGACGCAACTACACGACGCGAATACGCCACGCAAAAACACTACGCAGATGCGCTACGCAAATACACTACGCAGAAACACTACGCCAAACCAAACTACGCGAAAACACTACGCGACACCACTAGGCAAAAACACTACGCACAAACACTACGCAAACAGACTACGCGAAAAACGCTACGCAAA